GCCCCGCGCACGCCGGCGGCCCCGCAGACGCGCGTCTCTCCTCCCCGCAGTGCGGGAGATCCTAGCCGTGGACACCTCCCCGGCCTGGGCAGGAGGGGGCGCTGCGACCTCGAGGGACCCCGATTCTGACCCCAGGCCGCTGCAGCCCAGCTGCGGTTCTCTGCAGGGTCCCCTTCGCAGGGGTGAGGGCCGGAGACCACACTGCAAGGCGCCTGGGTCCGGCTTTTTGGAGGGTTCCCTCCAGACTCCCGCCCTTGTTTTTGAAACAGGCACACAGAAGTGTCCACTGCGGGAGCCCGGGGTGGAGAAGGACAGAACAGCTGGCTGGCGGGTTTTCTGGAGTAACCGGTTCCGGAACCTCTCCCGCGGCCTCACCCGCGCTGGGAGCTGGTTCTGCTGACAGGTCTGCTCCTGGGAGCAGAGTGAGCGAGGGCCTCCACCTCGTGGGTGCACCCCGTGGAAGGCGGGAGGGAGCCGGCACTCCCGGTGGGAGGGTGGGCACTGCACCTGCGACTCTGAACTTGGTTGATCCTGTCGGGGCATCCCTGTTGGCGGAGGGCTCCATGCGTAGGTTGGATTCTGGGGTCCAGACAGGGCAGAGTGGCCTTAACAGCTAGAAGGTGGCCTAGGGCCACTCGAGAGAGGAGGTGGATGAGACCACAGTCATGTTTGGAGAGAATCTTGACCTGTCCTCATTTCATGGCCGCCTCCGTCCCTCCAAATGACCCCCCAACCTCTAGGGCATTCCGCCCGGCCTAACGGGGCTAGGGAGAGAGAGGAGAAGTGGAAGGGGAGAGAGTTGAGAGGAGGGAAAGGGTGGGTACATAGGCTGGATCCTAGTGCTTTTAAAATTTCTTGGCTAGATTTATTCTTTATTTTTTTCTAAGAGATTTATTGAGATATAATTCACCCACTTAATGTGTACCATTCAGTGATGTTTTGTATATTCACAATCGTGTAACCATCACCACAATCAATTTTAGAATATTGTCATCACACCCCCTACCCCTCACCTCCCCAAAAAAGAAACCCCATACCCGCTTAGCTATCACTCAACTCCCCATTCTCCAGCCCTAGGCAACTACTGCCCTCCGTCTCTAGGTTTGCCTACTCTGGATATTTTAAATGAAATCACACAGTATCTTAATTCGTTGAGGTTGCTATAACAAAATACTACAGACTAGTAGCTTATAAACAACAAAAATTTGTTTCTCACAGTTCTAGGGGCTGGAAGTCTGGGATGAGTGTGCCAGCAAGGTCAGGCGAGGGCTCTCTTCCTGGTGGCAGACTACTGGTGGTACCCTTCCATGGTAGAAGGGGCAAGGGAGCTCTCTGGTTTCTTTTAATAAGGGCACAAATCCCATGATGAGGGGTTCTGCCCTCATGACCTGATCACCTCCCAAAGGCCTCACCTCCTAATACCGTCTATTGGTGATTAGATTTTTAACATATAAACTTGGGGTGGGAGGGATACAAACATGCAGACCATGGTGTACATCATGTGATCCTTTACTACTAGCAAAATATTTCAAGTTTCATCCATGTTGTAGCATGGATCAGTACTTTATTCCTTTTTATGGCTGAAAAATATTACATGGGATAAATATTCTGTTTATTCATTCATCAGTTGATGGGCATTTGAGTTGTTTCAAAGTTTGGGCTATATTGAATAATGCTGCTACAAATATTTATGTACAGGTCTCTGCATAGACATATGTTTTCATTTCTTTTGGGTAAATACCTAAGAGTGGAATTGCTGGGTTAAATGGTAACTTCATATTTAACTTTTTAAGGAACTGCCAGACTGTTTTCTAAAGTGGCTGTACCATGTTACATTTTCACCAGCACCGTATGAGCATTCTGTTTCTCCATATCCTCACCAACACTTGTTATTATCTGGCTCTTTGATTATAGCCATCCTAGTGGGTGTGCCTAGTGCTTAAAAATTTTATTTTGAGATATAATTCACATAACATTAAAGTCACCCTTTTCAAGTGTACAATTCAGTGGTTTTTAGTATATTCACTATGTTGTACCAATGACTTATCGACTTTCTACCTCTGTGGCTTTGCCTATTATGGACATTTCATATAAATGGACTCATATAGTATGTGATCTTTTGTGACCGGCTTCTTTTGCTTAGTGTAATGTTTTCAAGAGTCATCCATGTTGTAGCATGGTACAGTACTTCATTTCTTTTTGTTGCCAAATAATATCTCCTTGTATAGTCCTAGTGGTTTTCCTCCCCCTTCCCTACCCAAACAAGTGTGCAGTGGACACATGACACTTTCCAGTGCTTATATCAAGTCTATTATGAAGAGCTAACTGAATTATTTATCAAAGACTAAATAATGAATTTTGACTTAAAAAAATAGGCTGCTTATTTTAACTTAAGTAAGATGTGGTCCATTGCTTAGGTGACTTTGCAAAACTGGGAATATAATTTTACTTTCTAGTACCTTTTTTTGAGAGGAAAAGGAAGTAATTTATATTGTTTTAAAAATCTCTTGTTATTTTAATCTGCAGAGTACCTTTTACAGTTATCAATACCTTTTTTTGGGGTAGCACATTTTATAGAAAAACTGAGGCTAAATTTGGAGACATTCATTTTACAGGGTGTGGAATATATAATTAACAAAGATAACAGCAGGTGACTAAGCTGAATTATCTATATTTACAAGGCGATAATTAGTCATAAAAGAACAGAAGGAAGGAAAGAAAAGGATTTATTTCAAAATCATAAGATTTGAGTTAGAACAAATTTAATGAAATGCAGAAGGCTCAAGTATTATACCCACATGTCAAAATAACCTAGCTAGTTTTCTTGTTGATTAATTATGGCAAAATTGTTCTATTAGCTCATATTTAATCAAAGTTTACATGACACTCTGAAGAAGATATTTAATTTAAGCTTTCCAGCACATGTGATGGTGCAGCGTGGCACCACCTCCACATTCACCCCAGCAGGGGAGGGGAGCCCTAGAGTCCTGTGGCAGCAATTACAGGTGGTTCTCATTATTTGCAGCAGCTCGTTCTAAGAAATCATGAACATTGGATTAGTGAACAATGAACATTTGCTTCTAGAGGAAGTGCAGAGTTAGTGTCCTTTGAGCCTCTGGTCACATTTTCAACCAATGGATACATAAGCTTGTGTTATGTGTGTCATTGTATAAAGATACCTTATTGAATATATAATGTTGAATAACATTGTACTCACAGCCAACAACACTGTAACTCGTGCTTTAAGGAGGCTTATCTAACACACATATCTTCTCCAAAAGGCACAGCACTTAACAGTAGGCAGCACATCAGCACTAAGCTTGGGGCCATTTTAAACAGTAAAATCACCACCAAAAAAAACAAAAATGTGGAAAATGTGGCATGAAATAGACTTCTAAAAGGACACTTTTTTTTTTTTTTTTTTTTTTTTTTACTGTATGTGAGTTGAAACTAGAAGGCAGAGCATCATTTTCGACCTCAACTACAAATATGTGCATTTGGTATCTCAAACTTTTCACTGCTCTATGCATGCACATGTCTACCAGTGATCAGGAAAGTACTGTATTGCTTTTGAAATTATAAATACACATTAACAGGTAGGTGAATTTACAAATACAGAATCTGTGAATAATGAGGATCAACTGTCATTGCTTCCTGCAGTAAGTTACATAAGTCATTTCCATCCATATTTCATTGACCAAAGCAAGTCGCAGGGACTTGAGGATGGGAAAGTGCAATCACACTGTGTTCTCAAAGAAGAAGCATTAATGTTTATTGCTGATGCCATTTAGTCATTCATTGGTTATTTGATTCTTGTGGCACATTTACTTCCCAAAGATAGTTGCAACATTATCTCCTATCCAACAAGCTGTTCTTTTGTGACATCGACACACTTTCCACTGAGAGGTGGTCTTTGCTCCCTTTCCTTGAAAGGTGGCAGGTTTGTGACTACAGCAGAAGTAACACTGTGAGTTCCAGGGCTAGATTATTAAAGACTTCCATCTAGTTCTCTTTGGGACACTTACTCTTAAAAACAACAGCCATGCTGAAGGGAAACCCAAGCAACTCCATGGAGAGCCATGTGTAAGTTCCTAGCTGAGGTCCTGCTTGACAGCTGGCATCAACGACCACTCATGTGAGTGACCAAGGGTGTAGATGACTCCAGCCCCTTACCATTGAGTAATTTCCAGATTTCCTCGATTCTTCTAAGCCAAGGCCCCAGAGGTCATGGAGCAGACACAAACTATCTCCACAGAACCCATGAGCATAACAAAATGGTTATTTTCTCAACACCACTAACTTTGGGGTGATTAGTTTTTCAGGGCTGAAAACTGGAAGATTGTCTTCTATGTATAGTGCCATAGTAGGTGTTCATGGGTTTAAGCAATGAATAAAATTTGTGTTGGTCTTCATATACTTTTCTGTCAAGTCATTGTTTTCTCTGAGGTTATTCTTGCATCCACAATCTAATTTACTATTTGGTCTTTTTATAGTTAACCACTGTCTCAAATATGATAATTTAAAAATTGCTAACGACTTGACATTCTAGTGGGAAATGTAATCTTTTGCCGGGTTTCTCCTTTAGTTTTGGTGTAAATTATAATATTCATTATTGAGACACAAAAGAAGCCAAGAAGCCCCTTTTATACTAAGCATTTTCCTCAGTGCCTGACGCATAATTGCTTGATAAATGATAAATGAAGACCAGTCAGAATTTATCAGACACATAGATGCAATTGAGTGTTTTTAGGAGCATCTGTGAACCACCTTTCTCATGGGCCACAGAAAATGAAAAGACACTTATTGAATGTGCAGTTGCCGATAAGAAAGCTAAGGACTAAAGTTGGGATG